GTTCTTTATGGAACCATTTAGACAAAAAGGTTCTTCTATGGCATCGTGAAGCACCTTTATTTTTAAGACAGTAGGGCTATTGCAGACAGAAACAATACTGTACTACATAGATGTTTCCTGTCAGCTTGATTTTTGAGTGGACTTTGCTGTTCCGATGAGCATGAATGGTATATGAGTGGAGCTGAGCGGAGCGCACACGCATAGAGCGGGATAATACGCAGAGCGTCATACCACGTGAAAGTGAATCCTGAACGGTGAACTAATTTTCGGCAGCCGGAATTTCAGCGCGTCTCTAATTATTGGCAACATTAGAAATTGATATTATATAATAGCTGCTATTTTGAACATTTTAGCAATTTAAAAATATTAAAAAATTATTTTTTACACGGCACCCCTGCTCTCGACAGACGCGGCACCCCGGTTGGGAAACACTGGTCTAAATAATGCCGCGAGTGGGGCTTGAGGAAGTGACGTCGCCTGCGTCTGCGCAGTGCGACCTGATGCAGCCCCTGAAGTGAGACACAGGAAACAGAAATACTGCAAAATAATAATAATAACGCGACTAAACGAGACGAAATAACGTTATAACATTTTGTTTCGTCTCGTTTTGGTCAACGGAAATGAAGAGACATTTTAGCATAGTTTTTATTTTGTAAACCACATTTAGTCTCGTTTTTATTCGTCAACAATATTGCATTATACATTTAATTATAGTCATCGTCACATGACCAGCATTTACATTGCGTCTCGTCTCGTTTTCGTCACGTGATAAAGGTTCGTTGACGACGATATTTAGTCATAATTTTCGTTGACGAAAGCAACACTAATTATCACAAAACTTCCTTCTGTATGATTTATAAGCTTGTTTCCTCATAGGACCCCATAGACTTCCTCAAATGTCCCCACAAGGTCTTGCTAAACGAGGTATTACTAAAATTGTAGGGTCATTTGGTCCCCATAATATAGAAAATACCAGGTACTTAAACACAAACACCCTCACAAATATATTACTTAGTTTCTAGCCATCAAAGAATTAAAATAAATAAATAAAAATATCTTGCAATATAGCAGTTTTCAACTGAAAATAATTACAAATGTTATATAAGCACTAAATCAGCATATTAAAATGATTGATTTCTGAAGGATCATATGACACTGAAGTTCTAATAAAATTATTATTTTTTTAAATTAATTTTTACTGTATTTTTGATTAAATAAATGCAAAGCTAATTTCATTAGTTCTTTGACTATCAAAAGATCATTGTTGTTCCTGTTTCTGGTTGTGTTGATTAGTTTTGCCCAATTCCTTCAAAATACACACTTATTTTGGCACAGTAAACCCTGTTTTAACCTAAAAAAATCCCTAAATCCCAGGTTTTGAGCTGTGCTGACTTTCAGGCACAAAGAGGATAATTCTTTCTCTACCTGTGGCTTTGGGTTCATATAACGGAGATTTACTCATATAGACCTCCGCATTAACCTTATCTCAGGTTCTGGGCAGTTCTCACTCTTTCTCACTCAAAGAAACCATATCCTCCATAAAGGACACACTCAGGGGAGAATGGCCAAATAACTCTATAGCGCTATGTCATATATCACTGTATTGACTGGGAAGGGCACAGTAAGTATTCCAAATGTAAGCCTTTAGCTAATTTAATTTTATCAGTCTGTCCTTTTCTCAGATTATTGTGGCATTCTTCTCTACACACCTTTTTCATATGGTAATTGGCTGTGAATCAAAGACCTTAATCAATAAGAGAGCATGACGAGTCATTTTCAATAAAGGCCTCCATTATTCCTCTGAGCCAGGCTGTCTGGAGCATTTTCTGTCTGTGTTTCAACACCTTGTGAGTTGCCTACCTAGACAAAATTTTGGGCATTTCAGACATTACATTCAGACCAAATGGACTGTCTACCAAGATGTTTTTGAAGTGAGTAGTCTAGTGAGTAGCCAGCATAGTCAGCTGTTTTGGACATCATAATTACATACAAACCTAGTGAGCTGTCTACCATGTCAGCAGTTTCATGCATCATATAGACACGTATGTACATTCTATTTAAATGATTTAAACTTTAGTGAACTGCCTACCTAGTCAGCATTTTGTAGCTGTAAGCGTATTTGAATATTTGATTTAATAAATGAAATAAGTGCATTTTAGTAACCACACACTTTCAAACATTTGATTCAAATGAGACAGTATTTTTGTCCATTATAGTACCGTTCAAACGTTTCTTTCATACAATTTGAACTTGAACTTCCTACATAGCATTTTTTTTAGATGTTCAAGTATTCAGACCTAGTAAACGGTCTACCTAAACAGTTTTTTAGACACAGTAGACACATCAAAAAATCAATTCAAATGTTCTGAACCTAGTGAGCTGCCTATCTGTAAAGTTACTTTTGGCAGTCATAGTCACATTTGAATGTTTATTTCAACTGCCTTCATAAACAGCATTTTTGGGCATGTATTATAAAATACTGTCAAATGCATGGTTTTGCATATAAAAACTAGTAACTACCATGTCATTAGAGTGGGAAACACTAAAATGATTTTATTTATTTTTGTTTTTATTTGTTTGTTATCAGTAATGTACCTTAGGTCATTTGTGTTACATTTTCTGCTATTTAGTTAATGTTTATTGTATTACTTTATTTGTTACCTTGATTTTTTTCTTTTTCTTTGTGTGGACAGACCATTTACAGTCACCTTGATTTATCATGTGGCTTTCTATTTTACAACCATCTTTTATTATTATGGCTGTTATCAGTCCATTTTAAAATAAAAAAAGTTACATGGTATATTAACATTATATCGCTTAATGAAATTTGTAAAACATACAGGCATCAATACGACATCCCATAATACCTGAAACAGTATCACTGTACGGTTACGGTGAATTTCTGGCAACCACAGCTTTTTGGGCATCATAAGCATGTTTAAACATTTGAGCCTGATGGAGCCTCCCTCTTGACAATATTTTTGAGCATTATAATTAGGGCTGCACGATTAATCGCATGCGATATTTAACGCGCATCTTATCAGTAAAGCCGGTTCTGTAATCAGCGGTAAATCTCCATCACCTGCGTGCTTTCACATTGAGCAGCATTAACTACACAGAGCCGTTGTTCACTGACGAGTTGCGCTAAACCACGTTCATATTCGCGCGATTTTTTGCGCAGCTCATCAGTGAACAACGGCTCTGTGTAGTTAATGCTGCTCAATGTGAAAGCACGCAGGTGATGGAGATTTACCGCTGATTACAGAACCGGCT